CTTCTTTACAAGCTTGCCTGACAAAAATTAAGAAGTAAACAAAATTGAGTTGTTCGGAGTTTACAGCATAAACTGCAAGGACTTTAAACAAGTATACATCGGAGAGACGGAAGAACAATCGGAACAAGGATAAAAGAGCACCATTGACTGTGTAGAAAAATGGATACGGAAATATCGAAGATGTCTGAACGCATCACCCTTATCATCCACAGAATTGACCCAAGTGCAACCGAAAGGCTAGCCTCATATGGGAAAACACCACGAAACGGACAATCAGATAGGCTATGGAGATTCTCTTTAAAGAAAAGCTGATGAACAGGAGATTAGTAGCTAGGGGAGTCAGCGATAATCTTACGTACTGCCTAGGCAAACTTGGAGGTTTCGCGCAGACATCTAAAAGAAGATGCTTGGACCCAGGAAAGCAGTTAAACATCAGGAAGAGGCATCACCAAGGAGCGGCCAATGGGGAATAAATGGAAGTCAAGAAAAGGCGAGTGCAGCTAGATGGATCAAACCTGGAATTGGCCAAAAATTTACCGACTGGGTGGGGCTCCATCTGTGGGATAGAAAATGATAGACTAAAGGTATAGGTAGGGTAGATATAGATCACCATTGTGCGTGCTTGTGTTAATTTATCTTGTATCTGCCCTAACGGGAATTGAATTGTCACATACTTGACAAGGGGCCATACCAACCAAAACACATATGAATAATATCCTACTACCATAGGATTAGATGGGAGTGTCAACTTTAATAACGAGAGGAATTTGCTTTTCGCTTTTTAGGAGAGGAAAAAGGGAGCCGGTGTATTTTCACACTATCGATTATGACATAATCTGTATAAAGAGCCCTAAAGAATGAGATGCAATGTGGGTGTGGTAGAAAGGATAACTAAGTCATGGGTTTGCAGTCTATGCAGAGGAAGATTTCCAGGCATGGCATGGGCCTGGACTTTAAATCCTCTAATATGCTGTCATCAAGGACGGGAATTCAAGGCTCTTATGCAGCCAGATTTAAGACAATGATTTTGTTGTTTAGCCGCGACCATTTGTCAAGCGGAGTAGGAGGCGAGCTGAATGAAGGTCTGGAGCCCTGCAAACGGCACATGGTATCGATGATTTGGATGATTACGTTTTACTAAATCCATTTGTAGAGACACACTCTTAAGCGACATTGGAGGAGAAGAGGGCACGGAATCGTGTGATTAGGTAGATGGACAGTATTAATTGGCATTAAGAGAAAGAGATTTAGCGCTAGAAGATGGAACAAAAGATAGGAGCGAGGCATGGTGCGACAATGGTTGAACAGAAAGTGGTCAAGGGATTGCTATAATTTGACACTGATAATTTGGGATTCTGTTCTGATGATGTTACTTTCACTGATTATGATGACGACGATGCTGGCGAAACGTTTTGGAATTTGTCAAGTCAATTATCAGATGCTAGATACTGTGAATACTATTGCAGATTACACCGGACTAGGTACGTTCCACAGGGTCTCCCTGACCCTCTGGCCAAGTTTTTAAGACGAGGTCGAACCAACACTATAAAGCTTGAGGACACTGTGACCAAACTGAAGGTCAAACATTCTTGATTTTCCTATCTCCATCGATAAACGTGTTTTGTCCAGATTCCTAGGTCGGAGTAGTCATGATAATTTCCAGTTTGGGACCGTGGATTTAGCAGAAAATTCGGAACCATTTAACTACATCTTTATTTTATAAAATGCACCCTTACGCTCTTAAAACTAGATCGACTCAATTCTATATAACGAAAGTAGACTCTGACTAAAATGGAAGACACACAATCGTGTACTCGTGATTAAAAGTATGCAATTCTTTTTGCTTTAGATCGAATTTGAATATACCTTTTTAAATATTCTTAAGAATGCCACTTACATAGAAGCGATCGAATCAGGGAATCAGATCGAATGGTGATTCCCTCATCCAATTAGCTTTCTTAACCCCTTATATCTGAATTAATTTTTTTAATTTATATTTTGCTTATCTTTCTTTAAATTCCAACCTAACTATGCTGCTATTAACATATTGCTTAAATTTATATCGGCATGTTGCAGATGGCAATTAATCCATTCCTTTCAGCTTCTTTACAATGCTTACAAAAGCACTTTTCCTTGGTTCATTTTAGCTTCTTTTATTCTGGGCATTAAACTCCTTACAATGATTTATTCATTAATAGCAAACTGAATTACATTAAATTAAATTAAATAGCCTCTTAGATACGTATGAATTCTGCATAATACATTTTAGCAGACCATTTCTCGTCAACTAATACTTTTTATGTGAGGTATGAAGACCAAGATGGTGTAGTATCTTGTATGGGTGCAGTCTCCTTTCGTTGTATAAAAGTTGTTTGATCTTGGTTTCACAACTTGGTCTAATTGGTAGGAAGACCTAGAGGAACGCATCTAGTCCGGAGTCCATAGCATGTATGATAACTTCCAGAGTCGGACCATGGAAGTGATACATTTTCAGACGTTTTGTCGACATAGTAGGCGGCATCTTCAGTGAGTTTTTTCATTCTTAGCACTACACCACAACCAGTCAGAGACAAGTGAAGCTGATACCTCGGCCAATTGTATGCTAAATATTCGTGGTATCTCTTATTCCGCCCTGGGTTAATCACCAATCTTATCTCTTCGTATCACCTCTTTACTATCACAATGTTTTTCCTTTGTCTATTTAAGTGTGGTTTGGTCTGCCATTTGTAGTGGATTTCATGAGAACTCTAGACCCCACACTGGCTTTCTTACCCCCTCACCCCTCTTCATTCTTTTGCTGGGATTGTTGATCAAAGTCTGCCATATTGTCCTCCATTATACCAAGTCTATGGCATTCTATGCTCTAGTCTCTTGTGCCCCAACCCATATATGTTGTAGTTATTTTTGTTTTGATTAGGTTCAATGTAGCACCACAACGTTTGTGGGTTGAGACACAAGAGACTAGAGCATAGGAAGTCATAGACTTGGTATTATGGATAGAAAAATGGTAGATGCGGCTAGAACGAGTTGGCTAACGGTAGAGGTGCTTGATCATAAACGTGGTCCATGATGCAAAGGCTTGACCATAAGAATTACTAGGGGTCTTTAGCCTTAAGTTACTTTCCCAGCGGCAGAGTGTGGGAAATAACTCCTCGAGTAGCACAGATAGCATGGGAGGGGTTGAGTTAAATACTTGAGATGTATTCACCCTATTTCGTGTAAGGTGATGAAGGACTGCTTCGAAACTACCAGTAAATCAGTAATATGAGATGTATTCACCCTATTTCGTTTAAGGTGATGAAGGACTGGCAGTAGAATTTTCCCACAATGATATGAGTTGAGCTGACGTTTCCATTGAATTTCACATAGCCTTGCTTTACCAAAAGTTGTTCTCATCCTAGGACTGCAGTTTCGACCTCGCATTGGTCTTATCAACACCCTCAGCGGGATTCAAACCGCGACAGTGCAGGACGCTCACCACTCGGTTACACTGCCACGAGTACCCTTGAGTCACAGGGCATAAGTGAGTTTCAGTGCAGGACGGTAGCTTGACACGCTAATCACTCGGCTACACTGTCACGAGTACCCTTGAGTCACAGGGCATAAGTGAGTTTCAAGGAAGGTCAGGCCTCTGCTATATCATATTCTTCGGTGGGAGTGCCGATGAAGCAAACGTATGTTTGCTATACAAATCGACAACGTTACTTATATTCGTATGAAAGTAGGGTTTCGAGATTACCAGTAAATCAGTGTAATGATATAGCATAGGCCTAACCTTCCC